TTGCAAGCAGTAAGTGTTATTATTTTAGATGTAAGATAAAAGTAGTTTTGTTTGTTTGTTTTTCTTTTTAAATAATAGAAGGAAAACACTAAAAACTTTACCGAAACAGATAGATACTCATGTGGACAATAACCAGGGTCCCAATGCAGAGATTGGAGAGGTCTTTCTTCTCAAAACAAAGTTTAATTTAAAAAAATTGTGCCAGCAGAGATCCAAGTGGCATCCTTTTTATGTTCAGGAAAGATAGCTGCTATTTGTATATAAAGTATTACAACAATCAATGTGATGCTCAAAGATTAAACAGGAACATCCTTTACTTATAGAACAAAGGACAAACTGACTTACTTTGTTTAAAGTTAGAGTGGAACTGACCTGCCCATTCTTTGCCTCTAATGAATTCCAAAATTTAATCTAAAATAACTTTAAAAGATACAGTAACTAACAGTATATTTACCTATTACACTATTCACAAACCTAAGAATTTAAAAGCAAGGAAAGGATTAATTAAGAATACCGTAAATCTTACATATCTGGCCAGGCACACTCCCTTTTAAGCCCCTTTTACACTGATAGAGTGGCATAAAGCAACTGTAGTGCAAATAGGAATTTGTCCCATCATTATTATCAAGTACAAATAAATTCATAGTTTTTCATCACAATACAACCTTAGCTCTCACCCATTTAAATGAAATATTTTTGTTCTCTTGATCTCAGTGTCTAATGCTTTCTTTTAAAGGATACTGTTAAATGGAAAATATTTTCAGTTAATGTATCTGTCAAGAGTGGAAATTTCAGTAAATGACATATACCTAGTCAGTGTGATATGTCCCAGAGATAACTACATTTATCTATCTATTGCACATAAGATAGGCCACACATAAGAAAAACAAATGTCTCTGTGACAAGCAATACAGATCCAGCAGGCCCCCCAAAGTAAGCCTTAGCAGTCCTGAATCTCTTGATATACCCCTTGCCAAGTTTCTCTAATAAGAGGAAGCAACATCAGCCTAGACATTAGGTCAGTAGGACTCCAGCGGAATCTAGCCACCAGAAGGTTTCCTCATGTAGCTCTGACGAGTTGAGGAAAGGACATCTGACCCTTTATGAGCTTGATTAAATAAAGGCGAGTGTGTTGCGTTCCTAACAGAGGGACTTATAAAGAGAGGAAATTCTCCATGGAGGGTAAACTAAAGAAACCTGCTCCCATTTCCCTCAGGAAGCTTAGGGAGTCTAGTTGTGTAGACTTGAGTATTAAGCCCTGGTTTGTTTATCTGTTGTCTATGCTTTAGTTTGTTTAAGCAGCCAGCCCAGAAGCACTGCACAGGACTTCTCCGTCTTACTGCCTTTTGTTTTTTTATATTGTCTAAACCCAATAAATTAGGCCAGTCTGAGAATGGAGTTTTCTTTTGTTTAAGCACAAGAGCCCTCAGTGGTTTGTGACGGGGCTTGGGAATAGGGGCTTGGACATAGTGCGCATTAGAGGATTTTATTAAGAAACTTAGGGGAAAAGGACACCTTTTGCAAATACTGTTTTACTCTTGATTGACTTAGTTTTTTGTTTTATCTATTGTCACTGGTAATACAAGAGAAGGGGTAAACTAAGCTAAGAGTGGAAGAAATATATTAGTAGATCATCAGCAAACATACAACTCATCTTTGATTTTTACAGGACAAAATCTTAAACAGATCTTATTCATCATCAGAACGTCTACATACAACAAGTTTAGTGAACCACAGTACATACTGGAGATATCACTAATCAACAGCTAATCTGAGCCACATCATTTTTTCTTGATACAAATGACAACATTACTGCAGCAATATAAGCAAAGGTGTTTTTCCCCCCTACTTCTGAATACAGAGATCTGCCCCTCTCCAAAAGTCTGTTTACTGGAACTGGTAGATGCTTTCTCCTGTGCTGCCTCTCAAGCTGGGGAGGACAGCCCCATAAACATAAGCAAAGATGCCTCCTCCTTATCCTTCTTACAACTTAATCCCTCCTTAAAAACTCTCTTTTGCTATGATTCTGACAAAAATCTAGTGCGCTGAGACCACTGATTATCATGCTGACCAATATTGCCTCATTCTTTCCTTAGATGTCCCCATCCATCTATCTATATCCATCTATTTTCTCTTGGCTTGTATTTAGACTAAAAGCTGTTTGGGGGCAGGGAGGGTCTTTGTTTTGTGTTTATACAGCACCTGTCTGATAGGCGTAAGGCGTGGGCCTACCAAGTCAAAGATCAGGACAGGAGAGAAAGCAAGTCTCTATTTAAACTCTGCCATCAACAACCACTTTGTTCATTCATGTTCAAATTCTTTCCAAAATGACTGCCATGATTACTCAGAATGGCATTGTCAAATGGACACTTGGCCATTATATCTGAAAACATTCCCTGGCTTTCATTCATTTGTATGTTGGCTTTTGATGTCAAATATTATTCTCTTAGAAGCAAAATGAAAGCTATAAGGGAATATGACTGCACTCTACAAACACCAGGGAGGGAACTGAATTATTTAAGTAAAAGGACAATGTGGGCACAAGAACAAATGGGAATAAACTGGCCATGAATAAATTTAGACTGGAAATCAGAAGATATCTAACAATCATAGGAGTGAGGTTCAGGAACAGGCTTTCAACAGGTGTAGTGGGGGCAAGAAATGTAACTGATTTTAAGATGGAGCTTGATAAGTTTATGACCAGGATTATATGATAGGGTTGCCTTTGATAGCAGGTATGTGGACTCAAAGACACAGGAGGTTCCTTCCAGTCCTATGTTTATAGTTGCATCACTATTCTACTGCCTATCATCCTTAAAGAAAGAGATCATAAAAGAAAATGTGGGTAAGCTCTGCATTGTACATATCACTTCCTCAATAGACATCAGAAGTTTGAAAAAACCAAAATAAAACCAATCTGCAGTTTGATATTAGTGAAAGATATTACTGGAATTATGCATAATTCAGAAGCACATGAGTTATCAAATTGTGCTCTAACAATTTTTAAAAATTGATGGAGGTTAACACAAAACTTATTAGAGTTTTTTATTTATTTAATTTTATTGGACTAGATTGTGACTTGGACTACATGTCTGTATATAGGCTATTATTCTAGGTAGGTGGGGCTACATACACACTATTCCTGAGGCAGAGTTGATTGGTGGGGAGGGCTGGGGAAATAGGCAGAGGCTGTGCTTTACTCCCTCCTCTCTCACATGCCAATGAACACACACACATTGATGACTAGTTCACCTGAGCCAGGCCAGCATGGAGGAAGGGAAGGAGTAGTTTAATGTTGGTATAGGCCAGCAACAAATCACAATTTCGCACACTCAAGCAAGAGGAATCAGGAGGAGGAACTGTTGCTCAGAAAAGTGGCTTGAGTCACAATGTTTTCTCCAAACTCACAATCTAGCACACTGTAAACTTGTATTTGGGAGCCAGTCCTATATGGTAATTGATCAACAGCTAAATCGCTGTATTGAACGATATATACAGGAAAATAATCAACTTACAGCATTTACTGCCATTATCTGATGCTGCGGAACAGCAATCAAAATGATTTGCTTTACCTGCGAAGTTTTCATTAAATAACTTAATATGTCATACTAGTCCATTATTATGTTCCATTCATTATTTCCTTTAAGACCAGAAATGTACACAAGGTAATATTTGACCCACCACAGAAATGAAAAACAAAAAGCTCTGTACATGGATTGGAAATAAGGGAATAAAGTGGAGGTTTTCTGCCCACCTAACCATACAACTAACATCAAACTAAAGTCATTGTTTTAGGCGACATCTTATCCAAACCTGATATTGCTATGAATGTCAGAACTTTTCAAGGCTTGAAGCTATTACTAATTTGATGCAGCAGTGTGAATGCAAGAAAACGATCACTGGGAGTTTCCTTTTTCATTTTAATAGGCATGAATAGTATCCGGATTATAAACCTCAAAGTCTCTTTTTGGAGAGTGAGAAGTGATAATCGTTATTGTATTGCAGCAGAAATCAACTAGTGTAAATATATGGGTATTCATAAATCAGTGGTTTCAAACAGCTACCAAAGCCTTTAAGAAATTATTCCTTTACTTTGCTACAGTTAAATTCACACTCAGACCATTTTTTAATATAATATAGTAGCAGGAATGAGTTATGCAAAATGGAAAATAAAGTATGAGAATGAGACATTGAGGATTTTCAATGAAAGATAATTAAACAACCTCTCATTTACTTTGTATTAGATGCTAGGCTATGGGTCGTTTTAGGCATAAGAGGAAAGAAAACAGTATGTTCCATAAAAGACCACTAAGATTGGACACAATTTGGCTGGACAGTATAAGTGCCTCCTTCCTTAATCCCTAGGCCAGGATTTTTAATTTCTGTTTACCTTCCAGCTGGAAAGGGTCACCTCATACAATTAATAGGTGGCAAGTTTAAAACAAACAAAAGGAAGTACTTCTTCACACAACACACAGACAACCTGTGGAACTCACTGCCAGCGGATGTTGTGAAGGTCAAAACTATAACCGGGTTCAGAAAAGAATTGGATAAATTAATGGAGGATAGGTCGATCAATGGCTATTAGTGACAACAGTCAGGAATGTATCCCCATGTTCTAGGGGTCCCAAAACGGTTGACTTGTGTCAGATGCTGTGACTGGCAGGCAGAGGATGGATCACTCAATAATTGCCCTGTTCTTCTGGCATCAGCCTATGTCAGAAGACAGGATACTGGCTAGATGGACCATCTAGTCTGAGCCAGGCTGGCAATTCATGTTTATGTTCTTCAATGCTGAGGCTCTAAAATGACTGACCACACGGGGATGTACATTGTATCGGTGGCATGATCATCTCTCCCCTCATGTGGCAAATGCAGAGGTTGGGCACATAAGGGGACTGCCTCTGGACCGAAGCGCAGCAAACTCCAGCTGCACCAAAACTCTGTCCCGGCACCGACACGCGCGGGGTCCGCGCAGATAGCGCGGGAACCCACCCCTGCCGCCGAGCATGCCGGCCCGCTGGTTTCGCCTTCCGCTGCTGCAGGCCCGGCAGCCCCAGTCCTCCGCGGGGCGATCGCTGCGCCCCCGTTCCCTTCCTTCTCCTCCGGCCTCGGTGGGGCTCGCTGCGGGATGGGCGTGCGCGGTCAGAGCGCGGAAGCTGGGGGTAGCTCCTGGCAGGCGGGCGCGGCGCTCTCCGGGGCGGGGCTCCGGGCCAGCCGGGCTCCACCCAAGCCCAGGCTGCGCGGAGCCCAGCCGGAGGCAGCCACCAGCGGGGCCCCGGAGGCAGCGCACCAGCGGAGCCGCCATGGGGCTGGAGAAGGAGACGGGAGACACGAAGATCTTCATGGCCGAGGACAGCTTCGGGCGCCCCGGCGGCCCCGCGCTAGCCGGCCCGGAGAAGCGGGCGGAGAACAGCCCCGACAGAGACCCGCATGGGCTGAACACCCACCTGAAGGTGAGGGGCGGGGGTTAGGGCTGCATTGGCGGCCACCTGCACGCCGCTCCCTGCTCGCCTCCTGGCCGCTGGCTCCTTGCAAAGCCGGGGGCTGCGTTCCCCCTTAGCCGCCGCGCTGCAGCCCCCGTGGCCGGCATCGGGCCCCTCCCTCTCTCTCTCCCCAGGAGCCCGGGACTAAGAATATGTTTTAACATACGTGCTGTTGTTTGAAACGGGGCAACACAAAAATCGCGGGGGGGAGGTGTTTCTGCCCGATCCCCCGTGAGCCCGGCCTACCCGCACACCTGTGCAGGTCAGGCTCAGGCTGAACTGAATTGTTACAATCCGAATTTCCCTGGTGCGGCCTCTAGCCAAAAGTCACTCTGCGCTGTAAAGCCCGGGGACAGGGGTATTTAACCAAGCCGAGTGCAGCCTGCTCCGTTTCTTTCCCATCAGCAACAAAAACCCCAGTATAGTTCCCTCTTCATCCCCAGCGTTGTATCATTGCAATTGCCGTTGGAGACAGAAGCGGATTTAGCTGGGGGAGGTGTTTTTTCTGTCGTTCTAGCTAGGGTTTGAGGATGTCCTAGCAGAGCCTGCATCATTTCACTCCTTTGACAAAGTTTGGATCTGCAGCCACGCTCTCTTTGAGCTCAGCAAATACGCGCTGTACAAGCTCCTGACTCTATTCCTTGCTATCCCACTGGCTCTGGTTGCAGGAATTGTCTTTGCAGTACTCAGCTGTCTGCACATCTGGTGAGTAAATTTATTGCCTTCCTCCTGAAACATTAATATCCATATACAGTAAAGAAGTGCCTCTATAAATTCAGTCTCTGTGCACAAGGGAGAATGAACAATTCTTATGATGTTGCCATAGATCCTAACTAGCGATAGTCATCTCTACAGCTAGTAAATTTAGGCTGATTTGAGTATTTACTGTGTTTTTAAAGTGACAGTAATGAGCTTTCTGTGCCTGGGGTCCCCCATCTGTAACAATTTCTTCTACCCTGGGTCTGTCTTGTTTATTTAGTTTGCAAGCTCCTTGGGACATGGACTGTGTCTTACTTTGGATTTGTGCAGCGCTTAGCACAATGGGGCCCTGATCTTGGGTAGGGCCTCTAGAAGCTACTGTGATATAAATAATGATGATGATGATGATGATTTAGTTTATTGGACTATGCAGATTGCTTAATCGGGTGTATTTAATATAAGGGCTTGACAGAGGTATTCTGCCAGCTGGGTAGGAGGGCCATGTTTCCCTCCTTCCCACTGCAACTTTTTCTCATCAGTTTGGCACCCAGTCCCCTACTCAGTCTTACTCAATTGAGCTAGCTACTCCTCCTTTCCCATGCCACCTTTGCTGAAAAAAATAACCGTAGGGTACATTTTATCTTTGCTATTGACACTAAAGCTGTTGCCTCTGCCTTTGAACATGAGGCATGGTCATAACAAAGTGCAATGCAATGGACGGTGGGCACTTCCAGGAAAGGGACCCCCTGCTGAGCTCAGGCAGTCTGATCCTGGCCACACGCCCAGTTCCACAGGCAGACACAGTAGCTCTAGAAGCTCACAAGGAAGCTGATGTACTTTTGGCAATGGTTTGGAGAATCTTCAGAACAGAGAGGCAGCTAGATTGTGGAGGTGGATGGAAGGGGGAAAAATGGGGGCTGGAGATGAAAGGGCTACATAAGGGGAAGTTGGGAATCCATCTGGCTGCCAAGGTAGGTGAAAGGAGTAGGATGACCAAGTGCCCGGTACCATGCCCACAAACCAAGATTTTCTTTACCTGCTAGTTTTAGACAAGATTTCCATTATCAGAACGTGCTTTCAGGCATGGATAGCTGGAGTTTAACAGTGAGACCTTTCGAGCTCTTTAAACATCTAAAGATGTTGTAGTCTAATAAGCCCCAATTCATTAATACTGTTCTAGGTTTCTGTGCCACAGAAGCACCTCTTGTATAGACTTCCATGCGGTGGAATGCAGGCATGAGTTTTACAGAATTAGGTCTCTGAAAATCAATTACAGCGTCAAATCCGACTCATGTGAGTGATCCCCATTGACTTTAACAGGAGCTGCAGTGGCTCAGCACTTCTGAGATAGAGGTGTCTAACCATAGGCACCCAATTTTGAAGATTTTGGCCTCAGTTTCTCTATGGGCCTAACTTATTTCCTTCACTAAAAAGTACAGAGGAGAACTTTCATTCTCATCTCCTGTTATACCCTGGGTGGGGTGTAGAAGAGTTAGCTACCTCTGGCTCCATCCCTACCCTAGCCAGAATCATAGAATATTAGGGTTGGAAGAGACCTCAGGAGGTCATCTAGTCTAACCCCCTGCTCAAAGCAGGACCAACACCAACTAAATCATTCCAGCCAGGACTTTGTCAAGCGGGCCTTAAAAACCTCAAAGGAGGGAGATTCCACCACCTCCCTAGGGAGACCATTCCAGTGCTTCACCACCCTCCTAGTGAAATAGTGTTTCCTAATATCCAGCCTACACCTCCCCCACTGCAACTTGAGACCATTGCTTCTTGTTCTGTCATCTACCACCGCTGAGAACGGCCTAGCTCCATCCTCTTTGGAATCCCCCTTCAGGTAGTTGAAGGCTCTATCAAATCCCCCACTTACTCTTCTCTTCTGCAGACTAAATAACCCCAGTTCCCTCAGCCTCTCCTCGTAAGTCATGTGCCCCAGCCCCCTAATAATTTTCGTTGCCCTCCGCTGGGCTCTCTCCAATTTGTCCACATCCCTTCTGTAGTGGGGGGACCAAAACTGGACACAATACTCCAGGTGTGGCCTCACCAGTGCTGAATAGAGGGGAATAATCACTTCCCTCGATCTGCTGGCAATGCTCCTACTAATACAGCCAAATATGCCATTGGCCTTCTTGGCAACAAGGGCACACTCATATCCAGCTTCTCGTCCATTGTAATCCCCAGGTCCTTTTCTGCAGAACTGCTGCTTAGCCAGTCGGTCCCCAGTCTGTACAGTGCATGGGATTCTTCTGCCCTAAGAGCAGGACTCTGCACATGTCCTTGTTGAACCTCATCAGATTTATTTTGGCCCAATCCTCCAATTTGTCTAGGTCACTCAATTTGTCTAGGCCAGGATCCAATTCTAGTAGGAGACAAAGACCAGCTAAATCCAGTTTTCCCACACCAGCTTCAACCCAAAATTAGTGAAGCTTGAGTCTCTGTAAAGGTCTGTGTAGCACTGTCTGCCCATTCCACATTCCTGGGAGCATGGATTTGAACGCAGCTGTGTTTCCAGGATCTGGTGATGGGGCAGGAGACCCCAGAGCTGGCATGGAGTGGAGGCATAGGGTTTCCAAACATATAGTACTGGCTTCTTTTGGAATCCCACTGGGCTTACGAACATACCTGCTGCTTGTTTTGTGGGTGGGAGGAAGGGAATTCCATTCAAACCCTCCTTCCTTGGAACGATTCCAGGAAAACTCCATGAACAGATTGCGAGTTCTCCCTCCCATGTAACTGGCTGCAGGAGGAGCTATCAGAGCCTCTATGCCTCAGTTTCTTCATCCATCAAGCTGAGCCAAATATACTGAGGGGTCTTTTATGAGGCTAAATTCCATGCTGTTTGTAAAACACTTTGAAGTCCTCAGATAGCAAGTGCTATAGACATGCAAAGTACTGTTGTTGCAACTATATTGGCACACTAAAAATCCACTTAGGCCTGGCCTGGCAATGCTCACTCACCTAGAACCCCCCAGGATTTCAGCAACAGTTGTGCACCCCAGATCTGAGAGCAGATTTTAGTTCTCGGTAGCTGGGATAACTTTAAAGAAAGACGCAGGATGTTATACATCATATAATGGGAGTGGGGAAGGCGAAAGAAGTAAGTGAGAAAAATACCAACAGTGTGGTTTGATTTACACTTACTTTTTTTCCCCTATTAAAAAGTAACACATTCTGGACTCTCCCTCATACTGGGTGCATTAAGCCAGTCTCCATAGTTACACTATCTGGTAAGAATGAGACAGTCTGAAACTGTGCCAATGCCAGCCAACAGTTTAGTGACCTGTATATGAGCTCCTTGGAGCAAAGTTACTTCTCTGCATTCCTTTGCCTGTAGTGATTTATTTCTCTCATGCTACAGACTATAAGTTGTGGAAAACTTGTCACACCAACTCTTAGAAGCTCCCTGTGAATATCCTGAGTAAACTTTAAAAAATATCTTTAAACTGGAGCTTGAATTTTCTGTTGAAGTGAATTGTTTTATGACTAGATTGTGCTATGTCAATACCAGTGTTCCAAGGGATGCAGTCAAAATTCTGACCCTTGTTATAGATCAGGGATGAAATATTGCCCTGAGTTACATGTGTGCAACCACCTAGAAGTGTAAGTCATGTGTAACTCATGGCAGAATTTGGCACTACACTTTTTTTCTAAAAATGTCCTGGTGATTGTTCATTAAGGTTCTAACCGTGAGAAAAGCTGAGGACTTGCAACTCCCTCTGGGGAACCTTCCATGCTAGTGTAGCCTGCACAGATATCCTCTCCCAGGTTGCAAAGCAAAGTTCCCCTCTGCCCGTGTAGAGATTTCCAAGACCAAGCAAGCTTCATGCCTTGACCTCATTTGGAGCTGCGGGTGCTTGGCATTATTCTGTATCACGGCCTGAATTTCCAGCCATCACTTGCTACGGTGCACAGTCAATGACCAAGATGCAAAGAAGTGGACATCTGTCACCTTTCACATTTCTCTTTTATGGCTTATAGCAGTGGTACTCAACCTTGATGACAACAAAATCATGAGTGCTGAAAAGCCACATCCTCACTGAATTAATGGAATCAGAGAGCCACTAAACAACTGTCCTGACATTGTGTTGTCTCCGTGTGAGAGTTGCCCGTCCCACCCCTCTACTCACTTCTTGGCTGCAGGGAATGAAAAGGAAGAGATGTTGTTTCTCTCTCTGCCTTTTCCGCCCACCAACCAGTTTGTAGGGAGTGGATCTTTGAGGTTCTAGTCTGTTGGTTCACATATTACATTCCACATTGGACAGCAGGGAGTCTTCTTGTGACTCCCTATTGAGTCTTATCAACACCTCTGTTATGAGTCTTCACTATCACTTTGATTATATTCTAAGCCAATGGGTTTGATTTACTGCTGGGAACTATGGCTGTGTGTTCCCACTAGGCACGTCTACACTGCATCTCGGCGCAAACCTCCCAGCCCACAAACTCTCACTTGCGGGGCTCATGCTAGCACTGTAAAAATAGCTGGGTATATATTACAGCTTTGGCTGGAGGGGGCTTGAGACCCCGAGCTCCTCCCCCAGCCATAACCTCGACGCACCGTCTACACAGCAATTTTTAGAGCACTAGCGCAAAACTGTGGACCCAGGCTGGGAGCCTTGCTCTCAGATGCAATGGGGACATACCCACTGCTCTGAGGGGAGTTTGAGGGGCTCAAACTGCCTGCAGCCCACTCCACTGTAGAGCCTGGAGCAATCCTTTTACCCCCAGAAAGTAGGAGGGGCCAGCCAAGGAGAGGATTCTTCCAGAATATCTGTGGGGGCAGTAGTAAGACATCTCCCCTGAAGGGCAGATTCTGTTACTATTACTGCTGCCCTTGCCAGTGGTTCTGCCCAAGGATTGCAGCTTTACCACTGCCTGTCCGTTAGGGGTGATTTCCTTCTCCCCCCACCCCACTCCTGATGCAGCTTCCCCCATAGGATTTGGGGTGAAGGTTTAAATTGCACTAGATTATTCAGATAATAATGTAGAGAAAATCATAAGCAACTCATGGAAAATTAGTGAACAGAAGAGGAGGCACAATTTATCTAGCAAATGACATGCAGCACACTATATGCTATAGTCATAATAAATTGTATACACAGTTGAACTGTACATAACCGTAGCCACACTTTAGAGTGTAGCATACCCTCTTATACTACATGCATATTATTCCAGTAGCATTCAAAGTTCTATATGGTATGTACGTTACTTGCTGTTTCAGCAGAGACAAAGAAAGGGAAGGTTTTAGAAGAACTATTCTTGTTTAAATCCATCTGGGTTAGCTGAGAGTGCAGCATAGACATATTAGTATTCTGTTTGCATTGTTGGACTTGATTTGATAATGGCTGAGAACCCAAGCAGACAAACATTTAGTATTGCTCTATGGCACAGCCTTTTAGAAAAGCACTTTACAATCACAGTTCAACATTACATAAATCATTTCTACGTTGTTTTTATCTACACTGAACACCCTTTTAAATGACTTCTAGCTTACTGAAATGCCTGCATAAATGAAGATAGGTCACATCCCTTTAGCACAATGTACACCATATGTTGCTTCTCAACATAGCCAAACTCCCATTTTTCTGAAAGTTTTAAATGTCTCTGAAACCTTTTTGGTTAAATAAGATTCCATTGTTGTTAATAAATGTAATCAAGGATTGACTGGCAAATCCATTATTCTATACTAGTAGTAGTAATCCTCAAATATTCTCCTTTCTAGGATTGTGATGCCTTTTGTAAAGACCTGCCTCATGGTCTTGCCTTCAGTGCAGACTGTATGGAAGAGTGTGACGGATGTTCTTGTTGCACCGTTATTTCATAGCCTAGGCCGATGCTTTGCTACTGTCAATATACGCCTGGACCAAGAGTAAACATCAGGGATACAATTCTGGTGTAGTCTTAGATGGTGGTATGCTTCTTTGCTAATGTAACATAGGTACACTTATTCATTCCAAAAATGTTGGGATTAAACTAGCTGGTTTAAAATGGGGATACATTATTTAAAAAAAAATCATTTACTTTCAGGGGATCAATTTAAGACTATTTTCATATCTAACTATTTTAAACAGAAAAAATGTGGGGTATTTTGGCAACACTTTATTTTAATGGTACATTGATTGCCAGGTTGCAGAAAAATTCATGTGGAGGTATATGTGACCACCAAAATAGTCTCTAAGGTGCCACAAGTACTCCTGTTCTTCTTTTTGCGGATACAGACTAACACGGCTGTTACTCTGAAACCCACCAAAATAGGATCATAGAAAATTGCTGTGGCAGGTGGTGTTACTCGGAATACTAATGAAGTTAGTAATGATGTGATATACTGGGCCAAACTCACTTCTAGGGTTTCAGAGATGGGTCTGGTCCACTATTCAGCATAATACATGGAAGGGTGTATGCTCAGTTCTCACTCATTCAGCTCCCATTACTGCTTTGTAAATCTCCCATATATCAATGGAGAAAAGTTCCCCAAAGTTTACACCTTAAAATAAAGTGTTAGCTAATGGTTTGAGACAATCAGCTAATCTATATATATTATTTAATGAGATTTTAATTTTGCTGTATATTTTGTATTTATGTAAATGTTACTTTATCAGTTTTCCTTGAAGCATTATTTCTAAAGGATTTGTATACTTGCGGAATTATTATGCTGAAGAAGTTTGACACTGCAGAAGATTAAATGAGATTGATGAGATTTTACTGACTAGATTACGCAGATCTTTGGAAATGCTGTTGTGCAATTCAAATATACCAAGTATATATTTTTTTCGTAATTGAATGTAAAAGCAGTGCACACAAATGTTTTCATACAAGATTATGCAAAAGAGTTTGAAATATATGTTTATGAGAATTGTTCATTTTTTTTAAATTAAAAACAGGCTGTAATAAACGCAACCTTGCCTATCTCTGTATTATCAGCAACATTGTGGTATTTAAAATAATATACACTATTCTCACACTTTGATTAAGTGGAAAGCATTCTCTCATTTCAAGAAAGTGGACATATTTAGTATGCTTGTCCAGTTCTCTCCACACATTTAATTGACTCTGGTAAATGCTTATTTATTACTTTTAAAGTCTAACTATAAAGGATAGTTTTCCCTCCTGCACTTAATACAGCTTTATAAACCAGAATAGCGTGTAAACAAAGGTACATGAAAATTATATTGATCTTTTGATGGGGTACATGCTACTGATTTATATAAATGCAGATGAACAGATTACAACTGTAAAATGTTTAGAATATGGTGCAATATGTTTTCCTCTGAAGCAATGTCATGCATTCCTTATCATATATGAGGTATGTAATAAAATAATAAAAAATTAGCTTTTTCTATTTTTGGTAGCCCAATTTACTCAGTCATCTTTTTTTGTCTTGGTTAGATAGATGACCAATATTTAAATCATTTTAAAAAACTTTTCTTTTAAATGAATGTAGGATACTTGTGCAACTTTACACTAACATATGGTAGGAAAAAGATGGTGCAAATGGACACAGCTCCACTGATCTTGGTGATGTTTCACCCATTTACAATAGTAGAGAATTTGTCTCCCTATGTAAGATTTAGAACTACTCGTAAGTTCAAACTTAGCAAGTAAGACAGACTAATTTCTTCTGAAATCATGTTAATATTCTCTAAAATAGACTTCCCATTGAGGTACTTTGGCTACATGCCAAATGATTTTTTGGGGAAGAAAATAGTACACAAATTTCATAGCATATGAAACAGAGCTTTATTTAATGAGCTGCAAAACATTCTCATTCGCCACTCAGTAGTAAATGAACTAGTATACATTATGTAGTCTTTGTACTTCAAAAATGCACTTTTTCCATAGGTAGCAATTGGAGATGGACTCAAACCAAAGTTCTAGAACTGCACACTTTCACATTCAAATCTGGATCTTAATACACATAGCTGGTCCCTATTGCGCTAGTCAGAAATTCCCACCCCCTCCCAATTAAAATTTTCAATTAAAATATGTTCTTCAAAAATGTTCAGATTTTTTGTCAAAAAACAGAAATATTTTTGACTTTTTGACAATCAAAACCCAAAATTTTTCACTTTTTGTTTTTTCAGTGAATACCTGCATATTTTTACCTGCATTTTTTTTTAAAAAAAGTCCATTTTGTAGAGAAAGCTACTTTGCATCAAAAAGGTTTTGACAGAAAATTGGTGACGAGCTGTAGTCCTTATCTCTGAAATGTGCTGAACCAGTACCCCATCAATGAATAGCACTAAGGAAGTTTGAGGAAGTTCAGCTCTGGATCCAAACTTTATGATTGAGGCCTAGTGACAACTGATTTGCTCTTGGTCACATGCTAATGGATACGTGCATTCTTAAAAATAGCTTGCTGAAGTCAGCAGGGCTCTAAACTGCCAAAGAGAATCTAGAAGACTGATCTGGGTTGGGTCTGTCTTAGATTTTGGCCAGTCTGTACATTATTCATCACTAATTGATTTTTTTCACCATTACTGTAACTACATCACAAGACAAAAGCAAGCTTGTAATGAAGAACATCTCATTAAGGAAAGTATATATAGTTATAAGCTGTCCTGTTTTTCTATTTTAGGACCAATAACTTTCTCTGGAGCAGATATACCTCTGCTTATAAAAGTCTTGCTTCCATCCTTAAAAAAACTGTCAGGTTTTGGGTTTTCTTTGGTCATGTAAAATATATCTTCTAAATTTTGAAAGATCAGTGTTATGAAAAAGGAGGAAAGAATCATAGAAATGTAGGACCTAAGTTCCCTCTAAGGTGCACACCTGCGCAGCCATGCAGAGGCCACCAAGAGCTGTCACCTAACTCCCCCAGCCCTGGGGCTGCAGCGTGGTGAGAAGAGACACCTCTCCCTCCGAGTTCCAGGGCTGCAACGGGGAGAGAGGACTCCCGCAGCCCAGGGGCTGTGGTGGGGAGAGGCGTCTTTCCCCCAGCCCTGGAGCTACTGTGGTGTGGAGAGGTGCCCCTCCCCCAGCCCCAGAGCTATTACGGGGGGGGAGAGGCTCTCCCCCAGTCTAGATGCTGCTGCAGGGAGAGAGGGCTGGGGGAGTCCTCTCTCCCCTCCACAGCCTCAGGACAGCCTGCACCCCAAACCCCTTATCCCTGGCCCCACTGCAGAGCCTGCACCCCCAGCCGGAGCCTTCAAACCTCTGCCCCCACTCTGAGCCCCCTCCCACACTCTGAATCCCTCATCCCCATCCCCACTCCAGAGCCCAAACCCCCAGCCAGAGCCTTCACCTCCTGCACCCCAACTCTCTGCTCCAGCCCTGAGCCCCCTCCCACACTCCAAACCCCTTGTCCCCACCCCCGCCACACATCACCTCCATACAGTATTGGTGCACATAGCAAAATTCATTCCACACCTGGATGGGAAAAATTAGAGGGAACATTGTGTAGGACTGGAAGGGACCTTGATAGGTCATGTAGTCAGTCCCCAGCAGTGAGGCAGGACCAAGTATTATCTAGACCATCCCTGACAGGTGTTTGTCTAACCTGTTCTTAAAAACCTCCAGTGACAGAGATTCCACAGCGTCCCTAATTAATTTGTGCGAGTGGTTAACTACCCTTACAGTTAGGAAGTTTTTCCTAATGTCTAAGAGAAATCTCCCTTACTGCAATTTAAGCCCATTACTTCTTGTCCTGTCCTTAGTGGTTAAGGAGAACAAATTGTTACCCTCTTTATAGCAACCTTTTACATACCTGAAGACTTAGCATGTCTCTTCACAGTCTTTTCTTATCGAGACTAAACAAACACACTTTTTCGATCTTTCTTCATAGGTCATGTTTTCTATGCCTTTAATCATTTTTGTTACTCTCCTTTGGACTTTCTCCAATTTGTCCTCATCTTTCCCAAAGTGTGTTGCCCAGAACTGGACACAATACTTCAGCTAAGGCCTTGTGGGTGCTGAGTAGAATGGAAGAATTACTTCTCATGTCTTGCTTACAACATTCCAACTACTACATCCCAAAATGAGTTTTGCTTTATTTGCAACAACATTACCCTGTTGACTCCTATTTAGTTTGTGATCCATTATAATCGCCAAATCCTTTTCAGTAATACTCCTCCTAGGCAGTCATTTCCCATTTTGTATTTGTGCAATTGATTATTTCTTCCTAAGTGTCATGCTTTGCAGTTATCATTGAAATTCATCCTACTTATTTCATACATTTTTTCCAGTTTGTCAATATCCAGTTCTAATCCTGTCCTGAATAGAATCAGACCCAGGACTGATCCCTGTGGGACCTCGCTTGATATGCCCTTCCAACTTGATTGCAAACTATTGGTAACTGCTCTCTGAGTCTGCTTTTCCAACCAGTTGTGCACACACCTTATAGAAGGTTGATCCAGGCTATATTTCTCTAGTTTGTTTATGAGACAGTATCAAAAACTTTACTAAAGTTGAGATACATCTCATCTACTGCTTTCCCCCCCCCCCCTTCACAAGGTTTCTTATCCTGTCAAAGAAGGATTTTAGGTTGGTTTGGAATGATTTGTTCTTGATAAATCTATGCTGACATCACTTTATTTTCTTCTAGATGCTTACAAATTTATTGTTTGATTATTTGCTCAATTATCTTTCCAGATATGCAAGTTAAGTTGACAGTCTATAATTCCCTGCATTATCCTTGTTTTCCTTTGTGTAGATAGGTACTATATTTTCCCTTTTCCAGTCCTCTGGGATCTCTCCTATCCTCCACATGTTCTCAGCGATAATTGCTAATGACTCAGAATCTCTTCAGCCAGTTCCTTATGTATTCTAGGATGTATATCAGGCCCTGCAGACTTGAAGACATCCAACTTGTGTACGTAATTCTTAACTTGTTCCTTTCCCATTTTAGCCTGAGTCTACCCCATTTACATTGATGTTTGTTATGTTAGAAGTCCAATTACTGCTAACTTTCTTAGTGAAAACTGAAACAACAAATGGCATTTTGGCCATTGCTGCATTTTCTGTTGTTATCTTTCCTTCCTCATTGAGTAATGGGCCTACCCTGCCCTTGGTCTTCCTCTTGCTTCTCACATATTTGTAAAATGTTTTCTTACCATTTATGTACCTAGCTAGTTTAATTCTTTTTTTTTTTTT